CACTCCCCAACCAACACACCCAATCGAGACCGGAATAATACCCTCCAAACCCTACACAAAAAGCTCCTCCAGTGGCGGCGCACCATGCCCTTTCCTCTTCCACCAACCCCATCGCCAATCCCACACCTAACCAGCGCTTGGTTCGATCTGAACTACTACACGCACATGACAATGCTTTACCGACCCTCTCCTCTATTCCCCTCTCTAGACGAACAGAAAGTGAAGGTGTTAGCGACAGCCGCTGCCATGGCGATCCGGCAGGCGATGAATTTGCATCGGCAGGGCCGGTTCGCGTATAACTGGCTAAATCTGCTAGGGGTATTCCAGAGCGCGGTGGCGCTGATGTATGCTACGCTAGCGAGGCCGGATGAGTTGGGGGTTGTGGTTAGGGAGAGTAAAGTGGTGGAGGATTTGGGGCTGGTCGCAGAGCTGTTGAGGGTTTTTGGGAGGAAGTTTGGGGTTGCGCGGAGGTTGGAGAGGATTGTAGGGGTTGTGGTGGGGAGATTAGAGGGGTATTGTTCTGGTGGATAGCAGTTACTGATACTAAAGGAATGTTTATATAAGGGGGTAGTGAGGAGGGTAATTAGTTCTTGATTCAGTATTATATATCAAATTCGAACATTGCCAATTTAGTAGTCAGGTAGCTGGACGGTCGACATGAGAAACAATGACGACGTCGAACACGGATAACGGTCACGAGAAAATTTACCAGAAAAGCCAGGTACGCCTCAGGAAATGCGACCAGTCTCATAAACATAGCTTTCGGTAGTCATTTCTCTGCCTTTGACTAGACTTAGAGCAACCACCGTGATGGGACCGCCTCGAATGAGAGAATGCAGCGGTCCACCCGGTGCAACCAGCTCAGCTTGAAGGATTCCGGCCACAACGAGAATAGGAAGGCATGGCTTCACTCTGTGGATGTGGTTGACATAACGCGTGATAACTTCAGCACTATCCGCAACAGCTTCCACAAGCACAACAGTGTGCATTTCCCGTAGATGGTCATCATCGATGTATTCTGGGTAAACTGTCCGCAGGGTGCAAGCTTTCTGAAAGACATCCCGAATTCCAGCGGCCATCTGGTGGCTACCTCCCTTTAGGGGAATAGTAAGCATGCCGCTTTCACGGACAAGTTGATAGCCAGTGGCTTTGAGCTCCTCGGAGACATCAATAGCAGCCTCCTCAACGCCTCCTAGCTCGCTTATGTATTCACTGGCAAGATACCATCCAACTTCATGATAGACCTTTTCCTCCAAACGCTGATCGGGGAAGTATATCGTTCTCAGCATCTTGGTATGCAGCAACTTTGCTACACCCTTGTGGGTCGCGTGGGCAAGGGTAAATTGATGTTGAATGAGTTGATCCAAAAAGGCTGGCTCCTCGAGTTCCGTCAGATGGAGGGTGGTTGAGTCTATGCAATCCTTCGAACCCTTCAATTTCGAAGCCACGTCGGATAACCATACTTCATTATAGAAGCGATTATCTGGGCGGCGAAGGATGATCGAATAATGTGCTCGATGAAGCATGTGCTCAGGCGAACCGTGTCCTCCAAAGGCCCACACCTGCAAGTTATGGACTGTCCTGAGACGTTCGATCAATCTCTCTTTAGCCGTAGGGGTGACTATATAACCGTTGGAGAGTGGGCCCGAGCCAATGACCTTGACAGATTGCGAGAGACCCTCTTGCGCCAGAACCCTTTCCCACAGCAAGCGTAGTCTGGAAGTCACCAGGATGATGCGAAGGCGCGGACACTTCGAGACACGATGCAGAAAGCTTCTGATTTCGGGATAGAGAGCAACTACAGACGCAGCCTTTCCGCAGGCCTCGTCAAATCGGCCGTCGGCTACAGCTTGCTCGTACGCTAAGCTTGATTGACGGCATTCCGAGTAATCTTCATTAAAGCCACACCACGGGTGTCTCATCGGCAAGGCACGGGGTCTCTTGTCATTACTCTCACCAAAATAGAACATTTCCCAGAAGGCCTGCTCTTCATATTTGGGTGCGAAGACTCCATCGCAGTCCATGACTAGGACCTTGTCCACCTGCCCTTGCCAAGGAGCTACAACTTCGTCAATACACTGATCCACAATGCCTTGATTGTGTTCTTCATTTCGATCAAGCTGAAAGGTGTGAATGAGGGTGATAATCTTCGGAAGGTCATGCGGATCCACCATGGTGAACATGATCTTCCGGTCGAAACACGTGTCTTTCAGCCCAATGATTTCTTCATCGGCCCATTTGCGAAAGTAATCAAGAGAACACCAGGTAAGATGATTCTTTTCAGCGTCCTCCATACAACGCTGATGGACTACCTCGACAGGGGTGTTCACATACATGATATGCGTGAATGGCCTATTGAGGGTACCATCATCCAGAAGTGTCGTGTATGGATGGTCGCCGAAGTCGTCCGGTTGCATGTAATTAGCTGTGGCGATCCCTGTGACCCCAGCATCATCACATTCATGGCTGATGGATTCAAAGGCGCTATCATAGGCAAACCAGTGAACAGGGCAGGCTTTTTTGACCTCTTCGTACTCATAGAACGAAAAAGGGCCCCCCTCAAGTTCCCTTCGGAGCTGATTCAGAAGATGGGTCTTTCCAGATCCGGGAAGGCCAAAGATGCCTATCATATTTTGTCTGGGTGGACCGGATGGATTCAAGTCGTTGCTTATGAATCTTCCCGACATGATGTAGTGATATTGCAGTAATCGGAAGAGTATGGGCTATAAGACACATAACCAGGGGCTTGTCAAAGCAGTATGTATCGATGGCCTGGGAAGAAAATAGAGTATGAAAAACGCTCCACGGGTCAGCGATGAGTCGATAGAGGAAGTGAAATCCAAGGTACAAGGACTACATACTTATATCGAGACAAGAGCAACCATGGGGATCACAAAAGCATGTAAATAAAGCATGAAGTCTGTTGCTAGAGCTTGAATCGAGGAAACCCCAACTCTGTTACATACTTGCTATTCTGCCATATCGGTTAGCACCGTACGATCTTTTGACTGTTATGCCATGGTTTGTATATCTGAAGTTCTCCATGTGAAAGACTGTTTCATATAGTAGGTGTAACTTAGCGGTACCAATCATTCTTGATCACTGATAGGTCCCTTCAATTACAATTAAAATAAGCACGGTCCCATCGGAAACTCCCGTATATGACATTAATAAAGGGGCTCTGCCCATATCTGCTACAATAGCTGCGCGGGTAATCGCACACATTTGAAAGCAGTTCCTCAACTCTTTATTCTTGGCAATTCGACAAACATCGGAACGAACAAACAACAAAGCAGCCTGAAATCGGGGGCAACCGAATAATTTATAACATTATCACCAAGAATATACACCCAAAGTGAGGCGAATCAAAATAATTGGTCCACAATTTAGCACCATGAGTTGTCCTCAGTGCTTAGTGATAAACGGCTGTTTCAATTCGTTCTGACCACCCCACTTGAATGCATCAACGTGGACAGCTCCACAAAATCACTTATCATGATCGTAAATACACCCAAATCCCAATTCAAGTCTAAGACTAAACCGCGGAAACACCCATCACCACTACCACTGATCCCGTCTACAACCGAGAAAGAAAGGACCAAAAATGGTCTTCAAATCCCTCCCCAACCTCCTCACAACCCTAACAACCATCTCCAAAACCACCCACGACCTGCTCTCCACCATACTGATCGCCCAAGACTCCCACGGCGACAACCCCCTCTACGCCAGCACGGCCCTCACCCTGGCCAGCAGCTTCGCACCGCCCGCCCTCGCCGCAATCACCATCCACCAAGCCCTCGAAACCAACACCCAACTACGCCAAATCTCCTCCCACCTGGGCACCATCTCCGACACTCTCGCCCGCGACAATGCACTGCGCGTCGCATCCGAATTCCCCACCCTCGTGTACAACATGCTCCAACACAAAATCAAATCCGAGCCGTCCTCAATATGGTACCTCGTTTACCACCCGGACACGATCTGGCGACATCATTTCGAGGATTTGGTTCTGAATCGCGGCGTGCTGGGTGAGCGTTTCATTGGGATATTTGGGAGTTTGGATGCGGTGGTTATTTATATGCAGGCTATGAGGAGGGCAGGTGTGGGGAGAGGAGGCGGGGAAGGGGAGGTGCATTTCAGGTTACTTGTTCCGGCGTACTATCCCATTACGGTGGAGACGCCGATCAAGTTTCCGGTGGAGAGTATTGAGCCGTTCGATGTTTATTGTGATGTGCATAATGGGGTGCCGTTGGTAAGAATGTTTCTTCCGGGGGTCAGGGAGGGCGAGTTGGGGAATGTGGGGTTGTGGAAGCCGCAGAGGGGGTTTTGGGAACAACGTAAGTTGTCCTATTCCGGAGCCGTTGATTTGAGGTGCTGATGGGGTAATAGTGTTTGGAATAGGGACTGGACAGGATGAGAATCCCAGGTTGTTGGGGATGCAGGTATTGCATGATGGGGAGATTGGGAAGACGGACGGATTGGTGATTCATGATCAGTCCGTCGATGAGCCAATACGACAACCTGGCGAGCAGGTACAAGTGCAAGAGAAGATGCGTGATGTGCTGGCAGAAGATCCAGTGAGTGGTGACGAGTACATATATGAGGAAGCCGTTGGTCGAGAAACAGATGATGAGTTGGAGCGCGCCTCGACAGTCGCATCAGCTGGAGAGACCGAACAGCATACTATCCGACATCATTCGCGTCGACATAAGAGTCGGCACAGCACTGCATCCCAGGCTGGATCCGTGGCTGGCAGTGACTTCTACTCGGTTTATTCGTGGACCTCTGGTCAGAGCTCCCGTAGCTCAGGGAGGAGACACAAGCGTCGACATGACAGTCGGAATGGGAGTGATCGAAGCAGTCGCCGATGAGTTGCAGCCTGCGAAGAGATGAAGTGTCAAGAGCACGTCTAAAAGACACATACTTGCAGACATACTACCAGCTACAGATCTGGCAACGGTCGTACTATGGGGTTGCACACTCTCATTACTCGAACCGTCCTGAGAATAACATGTCATTTACATCAATCAGGCTAAACTCATATTACATGCAATGTCGCCGTTAAATAGGTATATAGCCACTACCACTCCAACGCAATCGTCTTCGCCTTAGGACCACCACACTCATACAGCGCCAACAACCGTCTGTCATCGAGAGTGAAGATACCCGGCCAGTGACTCGAATCCCGACACACTGTCGTGGGCCTCGTCCACATAATCCTCCCGTCATGGGGCATGGACCCAAAGACGACCTTGACACAAGCATTCTTGGTCCAGTTTACCTCATCAAAATCCTCATCGCACATGAAGATGACAGCCAATGATCCATCACCGAGACTAGCGATCTGAGGGGCTCCCGCGTTGTGTCCCTGCGCGGGCACATACACCTGCTGCCTGCCACCCCACGTCTCGCCATCATCGTAACTAACCAACGCCTCGACATCGAACGTGCCATACGTGGTCGTCTCAAAGACCATAACCAACGCTTCGCAATTCCTCGCCTGATCCCACGTCCTCGCAATACCATTCATACCATCTCTGCGCTGATCCTCCGCCCCGTGCAGACACTGCGGTGCCGACCACGACGAACCCCCATCATACGACCTCACCAGCATGGTGCACTGGTTGTTATGCGCAAACTCCTGCGAATACGTGAGCTGGATCTCGCCCGGCCGACGACCCAGTCTCATAAACGGTTCCCAGATACCCAAGGGGGCGGGCTTCTCTGCGGCCTGGGAGGCGAAGGACCAACTGCGCCCGGCGTCCGTGGAACGGCAAACAGTGATGCGGAAGTGTGAAGGGCCACCAGGACCAATATCGTGATTACGGAAGGCAGCAAGGACAGTTCCAGGTCCGATCTCGAGAAGGTACACGTTGTCGACGTCGCCCTTGCCGCGGGTGATTTCGCCATGGTCGGTGAAAGTTTGGCCGTTATCCTCGCTGATTGAGACCATTAGGACACGTTCACCGCCGCCAACAAATCGCGTGAATGAGGCAAGGATGCGACCGTCGTGGAGGCGCGCGAGGCGTGGGTAGGTGCCGGCGGGGTGGGGGGAGAGGAGGCGCTCGTCGTTGTGGATGACGCGGTTGCCGGCGAGACGGTTGTCGCCTGGTGGGGGCGGCTGTTGGTAGGGTTGGCCTTGGCCATGGCCGTGGTGACCGTGATGGTCGATTCCGAGGGTGTTGAGGATTTTCTGGCCGAAGTGTCCAGGCATGATGAGAGTAGTAGGGAGAGTGAAAGACGGATAGAGTTGGAGTGGGAGGTGTTTGGACCCTAGGACCCTGAGAAGGCTGACAGGCGGGGTATTTATTTGGAAATGGAGTCAAAGTGGGGAGTGGCTGAGGCCCAGGATGACGTCATCAGGGGGATCGGCGGTGAAACACGGTTGCCTGACCTGATGCTATAATTATGATGATGTTCACTCAGCTGGTTAGCCATGTTGGTGAATTGTTGGAGTCATGGGCGGGTGAATGGTGGTTGGTGATGCGATGCGGTGGGGTGAATTGCGTACTATGTAGCCGTAGTACAGGGCATACCGAGGCGTTAGGGCTGATCCGCACCTGTTGTGGCCCTGTTTCGCGGGGAAGGATTAAGTGTCAGTAGCTTGATTGGTTGAGAAGCTTTGTTTTGATACTGAGTAGTTTCTCGCTATGGATACATAAATAGCCTTTTCTCCTATGACTATCTGTGCTGATGGGGTGTGTGGGCCAGTCGTTTGCCTTTTACGAATGTCCAGGACTCCGGGTATATTTTCTATCCTCATAAGTAGATGTCCTGTTTTATTGCTTACGAAACAGTGCTGAAAGGCTCCTCTCTGTACAAAAAGGGGCCTTCAGCTAAGTGGTCTTCGAGGACTGGGCCTCACATGACCTAGTGAACCACAGTATTTTGCCTGAGTGAAGCTTATAAGCTATTCGCATTTCAAGCTGCCATTCATAACTCGGTATATTACTAGTTGGTGGAGCTGTTAGCTGAATGACAGTAACTGGAGACTTCACTCCTGAAGCGCACCAAGAGCGGAATTTGACAACCCATAGGCAATTCTGGTCTGTCCCGTCCGGTCGAGATACTGCCTCACCCGAGGTAATATGAGCTTGGAAATCAGTAAATAGTATCTTCTCCTTTCTCTCGATCATCCTTCAGAATGAGAAGTATGCCATATGCAGTACGACAAGCCTGGCACGGGGAATGCTAGTTTGTCCCGTTTTCTTAATGAGAGGGGAATATGGTGAGCATTGGTCATTGGAAGGTAAATGGCACATCTGATTCGAAACCCTAGCTGCCTCTAAGGCTACCTTCATTAGATTGGGGTCTATGCTATATTGGCCTACTATTTCTCCCTGGATCATTGAACGATTAGATAAGCACTTTATCAAGCCCGTATCCGCAAACGCAAGCTACATAGCAAGCCTTTGCGAAATGTCGTGGGCCCCGTAGTTGTTTCAAATGACCGGCGTCCACTTCGGATTGCTGTATCACATCAACGCAGAAGTCAAATTGGTAAGCGTGAAGGAAGTCAGAGCTCGTCTCGCATGGGGACAGTGTATAATTTAGATCGTATAGACTATTTATTTTGATACAGAAGGAAGCTTGTGTACGCCAATCGACTGAAGAGTGAGCCTCGGACTTTTGGGAAAGACAGACGCAAATGGCCGCGATCTTTTAGCAGCCTGCAAATTACCCAGACCATGTCCCATGTGTTGAGCAGGGAATGATAGTACGGAGCACTAATGAATTAATCATGTCTTGCAGCATCATTCACGATAGCCATGGCCTTCACCAGGTCTCCTGCCGCCTACCTGGCGTTGCCTGTAATGTTCTTTCTCTTCCTGAGCTTCTCATCCTTTCAGGATTCCTTCGATGATATTGAGGTCTGATTCCATATCTTGTCATTCGAAACTTCTCTCACAGCAGTTGATCACAGATAGACACTTACTAGCTATGTACAACCCATAGGCTTCATGAAAGTACTTGATCTGCTTTCACCGATAGCTCTTAACCGTTAACTCCCCGCTGATGCTTTGTCGTACAGCTTACAGAAAAGCTTTTCATATTTCTACGTAGGCAACCTTGTCCCCAAGGTGTGATCTCGAGAGCAGACCTATCTGGTAAGATAGCCAGCTCCCACCCTTTACAAAGACTTATGTTGGGATATGATGCACGTCTCATATGTAGGATGTACTACGGAACTATTCAGAGCACACTATCAGAATACAAACGATAACTAATGCTCCGGGAAGCTGCCTTCCCATTTTGACCTAGGTTATAAACTCCCCACATCGTTGGCCAAACTTCCAAACCAGGAACCAGAGCCAAGTTGTACGTTATTGTGTCTGATTAGCGTGTACGCTATGACTGGATTGAAAAGGGTTGGAAAAAAGGCTGTGGAACACATGTTGGATCCCAAGAGGATCAAGGTGGTCCACAGGAAGTTCACAAGACCTACTGTTGGGGCGGGGAAGCCTACTTACCCTACTACAGAACGCGAATTGGGAGCTATCGGCTTCTACTTTGATCGGGGTGATCATACGCGTGAAATTGCCGACACTAGACCGACTGCGAAGCCCGGTGATACTAGGACCGCCAACATCTTTCACTGGCAAGCAGCTTCGCAAGCCAAATCGTTGTCGAACCAATCTTGGATCTGAAAGAACGGTCAGCATAGTGTGATAATGGAATTAAGCGTTCCGCAGGATGCCACCATGGATGAGTTTGGAGTGATCATGAGAGCGGCCGCCGAAAGTCTTTGAAGCATATCCGAAATCATTGACAGTGTTATCTTGTAGCAATACATCTCTCCGCTCCATGCCTTGTATATACTGCCGATTTTGCTGTTCTCTACAGTGAGCCATTCATATGTATGTTCCACAACATGTAGTACGTTCTTGGCCGCTTTGTTCGCTAAGGCCTCTAGTTTGTTATTTTCTGTTCCCCAAACTGTTCCGTTAGCCAGTATCACAATTTCTAATATATTGACACAGCACATTTTGAGGGGCATGTTGCAAGTTTGTTCCCTCACTCAACGTGAACCTACTCAATTCTAATTGGCATGGGGATCGATAAGTCAATTTTTGGATTTTAGTCGCCTTAATACACCGTGGGAATGCTGATTTAAGAAGGTAGTCAACAGGAGGTAAATGAGGAAATCCATTGCAGTAGCTACAAGCAGTTTTCCGGACGCAGTCACTCAAATTATCGAATTTTGATACTTGGAAACGTCCACAGTAGTATTTTTCAGTATGATATAGACATGGCTATATGAAGATTTTGATGTATGATGAAAATTCTTTACGAGTTAGATGTGAATTGCTCTGTCCCATGTGCTACCCTTACAAAACATCTTAACAAGATTCTACCATTTGTCTGCCAAGCCGTGCAATAGCTGTGCCTTAAATCAGCTCGTATAGACCACCCTACCACCCCATAGGCTGCTCAAGTAGTATAGTGATAAGACAATCACCGGAAAATACCGTGAAAGGGATGTCTGGACATGCCACGAGTCCCCTGTTGACTCCAGCTGGGGAATTGCCAGATCGTACTATGCAAACACAGCCCAGGGCGGTCAAGAGTTGTGAGAGTGGATAGACAGTAAATTGATAACAGTTTTTTATTAACACACCATGAATTCTATCATCGAATTTACCCTTCATTCTCCCTTAGTCTCGGTGAAATGCTTAACTCCCAGGCATTGTATGCTGGGAGAAGTATTCCACATACATATCTTCTATTCCAACTGTGGTATACCAAGAAGCGCACCATGTCGAGAGCGTCACACATCCATTGGTGTAGCCAAACGTCACTGCGCGATGACTTCTTCAGGAACACGTCTCGACGGTGGATGTGAGTTTGATACAACTTCCCTAAGATACGAACACTGATGCTTCCTAGAATGAACGAAGACAAACGGTCTGAGGAAAGATACGTCAAATTCAATCCGACTGAGCTTCAGCGTGTTGCAGGCCAGGTAATGGAGGAGGATCATTGCCCTTTCATCATCAAGCTTGCGGAAGGAGGATTCAACAAGGTTTTCCTATTAGGAACAAACTCCGGAAAAGAAGTCATAGCACGGATTCCCACTCCCATTGCTGGTCCTCGCCATTACACCACCGCCAGTGAGGTTGCCACGATGGCCTTCTTGCGAGATATTCTAAAAGTTCCAGTTCCAAAGATCTTGGCGTACTCGTCAGATTCGACCAATCCAGTTGGGACAGAGTACATCATTATGGAGCGAATAAAAGGGGTCAGTCTTGCGTCGCAATGGCTATCTCTCTCCACAGCGGAGGTGAGTAGCTTGATGAAACAAATAGCGGAAGTTGAAGAGACGATTTTCAGCTATCCATTTCCGGGGTACGGAAGTTTATATCGCAAAAGAGATCTGCAAGGGGAACCGCAGCTACCGCTTTCGGTAGAAGACTTCTGTATTGGTCCTATTGCTGCGCGGCAGTTCTGGTATGGTGTTCGGAGTAATACCAAGATTGATCGCGGTCCTTGTTAGTGGTCCCCTGAAGTTATTTGTATGAAGCTAACCCTTGCAAAGGGCTCTCATCCGAAGACTGCTTTACATCTGCTGCTCGACGAGAGACCACTTGCATATTGCAGTATGCTAAGCCTCAACCTCGAAGAACCTTTCTCCTTCCTACCAGTTTCGATATCGACCCTTCGGAGCATACCTCGCTTCTTTCAAAATTCCTGCAACTTGCCACTCCCTTGATACCAGAAGACCCAAATCATAATTATCCCACTCTACGACATCCAGACTTGACTCTGAATAATATCTTACTAGAACGTGGCTCCAAGAAGATTGTGAGCATTATAGACTGGCAAGATAGCATCATCTTCCCGCTGTTCATGCAGGCAGGCTACCCAGCCTTTTGCGAGCATGATTTGTCGAAGGCTCAACGCTTACAGGTTCCATCCCTCCCAGATAACTTTTCCGATATGAGCAGCGAGGAACAGATGGAAGCAAAAGTTGTATTTCGCTCGAAGGAAGCAAACCTCTATTACACAGCAGCTACTGGGTTGTATAATGGTAATCACTGGAGCGCTTTGAAGATCCCACACCTTGGCATGCGACAATATCTACATCAACAGACAGGATACCCCTGGGATGGAGATGTCATCAACCTTCGTGCTGCTCTTGTCAGAATCACAACTCCGCATGTTTGGAACGCGATTACGTCAGAACGGTGTCCGGTGGTCTTTTCTGATCAGGAACAGCACACAGCAATGGAGGAATCAAATGAGTGGAATGAGTGCGAAGAACTCCTGGAAATTATCAGGAATAAGTTTAGGTATTGACCCCGAAGGTGGTACAGAACCCGCAAACTTTGAGCGGGCGTCTCGGAGAAATCTGGAATATCGATTGGAAATGGTACGGCAGGCCGAGGAGGATGAGCGTGATATTTGCTGGCGGAACTGGCCCTTTAAGGATGATAAAGACTACTCTTCTCCTCCAAGAGTATGATAATATAAACTGACCATCGCCCAATTAATACACAATGGGAGACGGCATGGGATGATACTTTCTGACGACTGTTTGAAATGTTAAGGAGCCTGTATTGCAGAGTAAGCATTAGTTAAGTACCGTGAATGCACTCACGCATGTCACAAACATGTTTTAAGCCCCCCTGATCTATGCCGCCCATTCTTCACTGTATTGTGTCAGTTGCGGAGATATCATTTCACGAGATAGACAATTACCCGTACATGTCAATATCTCATGCTCTGCCTTAGAAGTTCACCTCTGGCCTATATAGTCCTCGGTCCAGGTACCTATCTCAGGCGAACCGGCTGCTCCAAGTTCCACCTCAACTAATTGACCATACTAACCCACGATGGAGCCTACGATGCAGGAACATGTCTCAAGTGTCTGTTTTCTATGAGCAAGCATACGATTGTACTCTGCTAACCAGTTTATTTAGAATGCTGAGCTGTCCGAAGAAACAACCATCGTTGTCATTGACCACGAAGCGTTCGAACAACAGCCCGATGGCAACAGGAAGATCGTGCACCTGAAGCAGCCACCAAACTTTATCGCAATGGGCTACTCCGGATACATCTGCAAAGCCGACCAAAATACAGTCATCAAACATCCAAAGTACCTTCCCGATAATGAGCCTTACAATGAAATGTACCGCGACATGATCAGTACCGAGAAAGAAATCTACGAGCGCCTGGGAAACCATAAAGAAATTATACCGTACCTGGGCGTGCATGATCAGTCAACAGGCGCAATCAAGCTGGCTTATGCACAGCAAGGAGATCTTGAAACATATATTGGAAACCACGACAAGCCATCCAAAGCAACTCGCACCTCGTGGATTCAACAATAGTCGAGGCATTTTGGCATATCTATTCTTGCAAGGTTCTCCATCAGGATTTCAAGCCCAACAATATACTTGTTCATAATGATAGCCTGAAGGTTACTGATTTTGGTAATGCCGAGATATATGCGTTGGATGCTAATATGGAAGCTATCTACATGGAAGAACCTTTTCCGCGAGTCGACATACTTGGCATTGGATGCACTATTTATTCTATCGCAGCATGGCGTGCCTTCTGGTACGACTACTTTGAACAAGATCGCTGGCCGGAACCAGAGGATATCCCTGTGACAACTGGTTTACTTTGTGAAAATGTCATCAGAAAATGCTGGAGTAACAGCTATGAGAACATGCAGTCGCTGTATGAGGACTTCAATGCTTCCACTAGCACGGATCTGCCGCTTGCGAAGGAAGAGTAATCGGTGTTTATTTACATCCTGAGTATGTGGGCATGTGGCACGCTTTACTGGATCTTGAAGTTCCGTCAGAGTCCATCGAATCTTTACGGGAAATACTGAAATTACAATCATTTTCTATCTAAGGACCCCACACTCTGGTCACTGAATATAGTAAAGTAGTCTCGTTTCGTATCTAAGATGACCCTATTTTTTTTTTTTTTTGCCAGCTTTAACAGCGCACTTAATGAATTGGCCTATAGCCAAAGACTGGATCAAGTCAAAGCACCGCCGTACCACATCATTCCGTGCTATAGTACTATTCAATCAATATCCATCATATCACTATCCTCCGGCTCAGGCAATGGTGCGAACGATGGAACCCGCGCTTTCGGTCTCCAAAATCGTCTCTCCTTAGCCCTCAACGGCCGGGGTCTGTCAGGCTGTTGGTTGCGATCATAATTCCAGGTGCGAAGCACCCAGCGCAAAAGCATTATTCCATGAAGAAGATCATAAGCATCCAACTTGAACGGATTCCTCTCTCCAGGGACGTATTGATAAGTGTGACGAAACATACCCGGTTTGATCCTAGCCATTTCATGTAAAGTCCAGATCGCAGTGATTCCTACAATATTGTTCATCGTGACCTTGTCCCAGTCCAATCGGGGAGGTTCTGTATCATCGAAGATGGATATAAAAGCCATGTCTTGGGACCAATAGAATAGCTGCATGTCAATAGTCAGGATATCCCCTACGTCGTCGTAGGCCCTCTTTGAAGGCTTCATGCTCCTGACAAACTCCTCGAGGATTTTCGCCATTCTTGGGCCGCTCCGGTAGCATAGATCCCATATCTCTGTGGTGGCATTCATGCCCCAGGCTCCGGCGAGGAGTTCATCGTCCGAGCTGAGTTGCTTTACATACCCGGCGGTGTAGTCGATTCCTTCGATCTCGTTGTATTTTTCATCTTCCAAAGGGCGGGGATTGGGGTTGTGAATGCTGCTCTCTAGGTCTATAATAGACAATATTAGTACATTATAATTTTGGGCCGGAAATAAAATACCGCAAACGATTATGAAGAAATGATCGAAACAATCAGGTACTTACTAGCCATATTCTTGATCCTTGGTATAGACTTGCCCAGAGTCAAACTGACTTGCTGTTTCTAGTTGAGGGGTTTTCTCCTGGACTTGGATTCAACAGCTGGCGCTCTCTCTTATACAAGTCTCGGGCTAGAGGGAAAACAAAATACTACTTGACTATATCGGGTATCTCCTTCACTTCGTTGTAGCAGGGGTGCATGATGCAGTACGCCTAAACAGCCTGACATCCCGTCATTCATTGTGTAACCCAGCCCTATTCCGTAAATGGGGCAAGTTAATTTGCAATACTGGAGTTTTCAGCTATCTAATAAGACCTTACCTGTCTTACAATAGAACAGCAGGGTGGCTTAATTTCTTCGTCTTGCCATTTTTAAGGCTAGTTCCGATGCTTCAAGGGATTTTCGCACAAAATTGACCTTCGAGACGCAACCATCTGTGTGGACATCAGCAAGTATCGGTAGCTCTAAATGCCCCCAGGTCAAATAATTTTGGAGACTGCGATTTACCAAGAAACTTAGTGCTAAGTCCGTAATGTAATATTTTTCTAGCGAGTGCATATATCTATTAGTCCGCAATTCTGTCACTTGAGCTTCTTTGTTATCCTCCCGCTACTACAATTAATATCATTTCAGCATACAGTACATATGATATAGATGCAGGCAGACGATATAAAGAAATACAGTCCAATTTGTCTAGGCTTAGCGAGCTTTCTATCTCCAAGGATACAGAATACTACTTATCTTCTCGACTTGGATGTCGTAAGGGAAGAGAATATATCTGCAATTTAAATTGCAATATATTGGACCAAATTACCATCGAACGAAGCATATCTCCAAGATAACTCACCTCCTCCTGAGATTTATTCTGGTATATAAGGCGTCTTCTTAATGAAGGTGGCCTTGCTTTGCAACCTACTTCTTTTGTCGATCGTGAAACGGAAAATTCGATTTTATAATTAAACTCATATTAAACCCTCCACAGAGTGTCCTTTCCAGATCCACCAACCCATTGAACTCAATGAAGAGTATGACAAATTCTAATAATCGACTCAGACCAAAGGGACATATTCTCCAAAGTTTTACCGCCTGGAATCCATAAATATCTGCGTAATCGTGGAGAGAAAATTATCCAGATGCTCCTTGACCCAGCTGCCAGCCTCATATAGAATATCCCATAACCAAGAACACGCGGATTTTATTGAGCCAAAGACCTTTTGAAATCCGGTCTTGATACAATCCCAGACCATAGAACAGATATCGCAGATATATTGCCAGAACCCGGGATTTTGGGACGAACTATCATTGGACGACTCATCGTTAAAGGATTCATTATCGAGCAATCCATCATCAGACCATTCATCATCATAGCATTCTCCCTCGTATGGGCTACCCTCGGACAATCCAGGATCGCATGATGACTCAGCTGAAGGCATATTGTTGGATGGATTATCAGGAGATGCCTCATCGTCAGATTTATCTTTCTCTTTTGGGTCATCGGAGAGCTCTGCCGTGCCTTGAGAGGAACCAAACAACTTCTCTTTCAATAAGATCCATTCGTCATCCAGTCGCCTTCTCACATCAGGGGTGATGCACGAGCGCATATAGGGGGGAACATATCCACTGCGCCTTTTTGCCTCAGATCCTCCATGTTGTGAGGATCCGGATGCCCACCCGGAATTGAAAGGGTCTCTAGTGTGGCATGTGAGAATAGAATTATTTGACAACATTGATCAGTTAGTGTGATTCGATGGGGACTCACTCATTCGCATGCATCTTTCGTGGTGTAGCCTTGGCCTAGTGTCCTAGTGATAGTATTCGTTCCAGCTTGCAGGATGGTGATGGGAATAGAAATACCCCATAGATATATTACCACAGTCTCCGAACGGAAGAATACTCCGGAGACCGATTAATTGTTTTGCAACTATGACAATCTTTGCCTGACATGACTAATCTTAAGTTGATTGAGGTAGTCAACTCATCGTTGTTTTCTTCATACAACAAAACAAAAAAAAAAAAGAAAAAAAGAAAAAAAAAAAACTGAGAAGAGAGGATATTTTTATGTTCCGAAAAGTGGCTCGCTGCTGAGTGACTTTATGGGTGTCTACAACTCCGACGCTCACTAAGAGGTAAGGCAGTACATCATGCATGCAAGCCGAGAGCTATTTACATTGTTCCTTTATGCTTGATAGATTGTTAAGGACCCAAAAAATTACTGTCCAATTGGTTGTTGCGTCCGATGAAATGTCGTAATTATGATTAGGACTTGCCAAGTGCCCCATCCAAACCCAAGACTGGATCTGACCCGCATTCAGGGTGTAAGCTGCCCGCATCTTCCGGGGTTTGAGCTTATCTCCGTCATGTTCCATCAGGTAGCATTATAACCAACCCGTATATAACAACCACATGGAATGCAGTTTCTAACACCTCAGGCTAACCACTCCCTTCCCAAGCGGTGATTTATTTCGCCTTCATAAATAGAATCATGCGCCTCCCGACTCCTGCTGGCATGCTCCCCTCGTCTGAACGCCATGACCTTGTACACCACACAGCGAGCGCTACGTAAACTGTACGATGAACAAGGCACTTGGCGTTCTGGGTACCATCAACAGCACGATTTCGACTGGGTTGAGAAGCCACGCAATATTCGGCCGATCTAGAATCCTACGGAGTGGGTGAATTAGCCCCAAGAAATTTGTCTGATTCTTCGACATCGCCGAGTAGTATGCAGGTACCAGACTGCGATGGATAAAACTGGGTCTCGGTCAGGAAACGTGTAGGTCTATTTAGGTGACATGGTATTGAGTTGGTCGTGCTGTTATGACCCTAACGTTAGATGTCCTCAGATAGAATGTCCGGATATCCTAGTGTTTGGAAAGAGGGTTGGCATAGAACTCCATATAGCTCGCGATAATATATTCTTGGAAGTGATGCCGCCAGAGGGGAGTAAAATTAAGATTCAATCCGTGTGAGGAAGTAAAGCAAGAGATATTGAAGTATTGGCATATATCAATTGCAGCCGGATATGACCTGCAAAAGCCAAGGTGTTAGTTCTTCTCCATGGAAAAGTTCACACCATAATAACCAGCGCAAAGACCAAAGGGATATGTTGACTCAATTTCTATATAATGTCGAGAAGTGTCAACCGATTCCAGATTCAATTACAATCCATATGCCTACAACAACCCATGCAGTAGATACCGGAGTTAAGAGACCCTCGACCCACTCCTTCTCCATCAGCCCCACCAGCGGATTGACTGATAATGGGCCAATGATAACAGAAATGTAAGCATCTTGCACATCTATTTAAGAGCCACTTGTTAGCCTCGCCCCGTGTAGGTAGTGGTAGAAACAGACCAACCCTCCTTTGTGTCATAGAAGCTTCCAAATGCAGCTGCAACGGTTATCACATCCCGCACTGGCCGCAGCCCCCGAGGATGACTGGAGCGGAGTGAGCAGTCGAGTTATACGGCGCCGAGTGCAGAATCGCCTCAATCAGAGGGCCTATCGTGAGGACTAGAACCCCTCTTTCCTTATTATTGATAGAGATGGCATATTTCTCTGACAAATTCATCTTTTCCCGTCACAGGAGCACGTCAACGGAAAGCTGGCGTTCTATCGGGTGCCGCAAACAGTATCCACAACCCATCATCACCGAGCTCTCCACATCCTCAAAGCCCACTTCCCCCTTCGGGTACAATTACATGTACACTATCTAAGACCGAGCATGTCCAATGCACATTTGCCCCTCCAGATGTCCACGAGCTGATGGCCGACTTTGAAACCGGGGCTTTGCATCGCTACCTGGGCGGATCCCCACAGACCGACATGCTTCTGAACCTAAGCAGAATGAACGTGCTCCGGGCAGCCTACCAGAATGCCATTGCTTTAGGCATGACTGCCGAGTGGCTGTGTCTGGATGATACTATTTCCATTTTCTCGCTCGATGGTCCCCATGTCGTCCCGGAGGATCATGTCGGCATTCCCCACAGCCTGCGCCCAACATCCCTACAGTGTGCGACTCCACATCACCCATGGCTTGATGTCTTCCCGTTCCCGAGCATGAGAGATAATCTCATCCGAGCAGGCGATGATCTTGATGATGATGAGCTCTGCCACGATTTAACGGCTTCCTGGGATACGCGCAGCAGTAATGCCACACTCCTCGTATGGGGAACACCTTGGGATCCGGGAAACTGGGAGGTTACTGAAGACTTTGCTAAGAAGTGGGGGGTATTTCTTCGAGGGTGTCCGGAAATTCTGCGTTCAACAAACAGTTGGAGGGCTAGGAGAGGGGAGAGACCTCTGGTATGGGAACGCATCTTTACTTTCGTCGATACATGAGACTTGTACCTATGTTGATGAGTCGTTCATGAACTCCAAATGATGTGTTGTGAGCCACAGAACGTAGTTTGTTCCCTTTTGAAGCGTTCATAGACCAATAAGATTCCGTATTCCTAGTACTTGAATCCAGCCGCTATCTCACAGGACCTTGGTCTTTAGGTTCTAAGATTTCTTGAAATCCTCCCATGTGCAGGGAGCCCTCAGCCCTGGCGTTGCAGTAACGGCTCAGTGTCTGAAGAGCTGTTGAAGGCAACTTGGTCAGGGACTAAGGTTTCACCTCAAAGTGGAGAACGCTATCTGCTTACAATTTCAGTGCAATTGGTCGATGCTTGCTGTGCAGACTACTAATCTGCAGTGGCTGCATTTTGCTTACAATTCTGCTCTGATTGGCTGGCTAGCAGCAGTGAATCTTAGCCTCAAAATATCAAGTGCGACATGGATCATGTATGCTGCCATCATGGTTCGTTGAGGGCTTGTCGGACGTTTCCCTACGCAGTGATCAGCTCTGGTCATAAGGAGACACTATGCTTGCGCTCTATCCTGGACTGTTGACAGTTTTGCGTAGAACGTGAAATGAAATACTCAGAAGGAAGTCTATGTTTCCTACCGAGACTGCAGCTGCACGAAGAGATCGATACTGAATTACATCCCAGCAGCTTTGATAATACTATCGCCAAAAACTGCAGCGCTTGACGGGTTCTGACCCGTAACCAATTCACCGTTCTCCCCACTGATGCGAGCCTTGACGACAAAAGGGCCAGCCGCCTTCTCATAGATTCCTCCATGCTTGTGTAGTTTCGTCTCCGGCAAGAAGAACATATCTTGGCTAGGTTCTAAAATTCATTCTCCACGTCAGAGATACCAGTAATCTTATGTGCTGAAACCAATCATGTTACATTCGATAACTTCACATTGACCAGAGCATCAAGGCCATGACACACAGCAGACACGACTTTGCCTGCCTCTTATATGATGACGCCTCGGTCCTACTTCGGTATGCTTCCGGACAAGGATCCAGGGTAGGCCCGTCTACTCAACATGTCCTGCATATCTAGTGGAGATGTCAATAATTCACTAGAAATCACCGGAGTTCTGCCGAAATGTTGTAATCTCACGGACTTAGCGGACGTAATTCACATCGATATACAGAATGAATCCTACATAAGGCTGGCCCTGCCCCTCAATCAGAAGGATTGAAACACCCAGCCTCCTTGCCAACATTCACTCCTCCTAGACACCATCACTCTCAAGAGAACATCTTAATCAGAGGAACATCGGTCGACATGACTTACACAATCACCGTCGTCTTCCCCAACGAGCCCGATGCCAAATACGACATCGATTACTACACCAACGTTCACATGAGGCTAATCGAGAAGCATTGGACCAAGTACGGCCTCAAAAGCTGGTCCGTCACCAAGTTTGGTCCGTCCTTGAACGGTACACCCCCTCCGTATGCTGTTGGTAGCCGAGTACACTGGGAAAGTGAGGAGGGGATGAAGAAAGCATTTGAGAGTCCCGAGGTGCCGGAGATTATGGGGGATGTTGTTAATTTCAGCAACAAGCCAGCTATTTTCTTGTTTGGGGAAACTGTGCAGCCTTCTTCTAAGCCTTGAGTGTTGAGATAGGTATTTACCCGAGAAGAGTATTGAGGGTATGTCGTGGCTAATTTCATTAGGAAGGGGTTCTCATTGAGCCATACAGCACGTTATCCTTAGTCATATGGCATGTTCAGGTCATTCTTTCGTCGATTTGCATTTTGCTAACAGCTACAGGCGAAGAATGCCGGTCGTACCTTTATCTTCCTATTTACATTTTGTACAATCTGAGTTGAGCCCTGGGCTATAACCACTGATTTTGAATGGATAAATGAATGAGTTGGGTTATAACCGACATGTACATGAACAGTGAACTGTCACTAGGATTCCAAAAGATATATTCAATATGCTTGTTCTGTGCTTACCACATACATTTAACTTGATATGTTCTGTCAAACTAAGGTTCTCGATTGATATTTCACTATGGTAAGAGACCACTGTTAAGAGACTCCCTTCGATCTGCAATGTAAATGTATACGCAAGGTTGTACTACCAATGCTGGGATCTTTATCCCGAAATTGCCTGCTTATCTCTTTTTCCATAATCTGCTCGGCTCAACCGGAAGCCACTTGTGAGCACTTTACCCGAGCAGGAGATGTTGGGGACTATCACACATTACACTATGAGCAGAAATACTTGCAAAAAAGTGTATTGTTATCATTGCCCTAAATCTTCCCTAATCCGCAACAAAATCCCGGAAACGATGTGAACATAACCAATTACACCTAGTGATACTAAGTAAACATACCCCTAGTTGTTAACACGGGCTCGATTCGCTCAAAATCCAAGTTGCACATTGAAGAACAGGTAAATTATAAGAGCCAAGAAATAAAGTTGCGAACATATGCGACGCTGCATGCACACCAGATCCCATTTCGCCCATCATCCCCTCATGTTGTACGGGGAGAAAGGTAAACAGACCCTCGAATATGGTCTGCAAAGAAAGGGGGTTGGTTTTGGCCGTTACACCTGTGCAACTCTGCAATATCCTTGGCGACTCGTCGATCCTCTAGTTCTCGTCTAAAGAAGGACCATTGCTTGCTTTTCCTTGACAAACGTAGAATGTGGACTGGAATAGCGAAAATCTGTAAATGAGCGAGCTTGAAATCATAAGAAAAATTATTGATGTCGATCACAACGTATGCATGTCGCGGATACACGTCGACGACGAGTTTTCGCACCACGTGGTGTTCTTCCCAGCTATTCGTGAACGGTTCAACGAGTTCAAATGCTAAATCAAGATAGTTCTCAGGGGTTAAATGTTCAGTAGGAATGTCAACAATAACCCGGATGGTCTTTAAATCTTGGATAGCTTTAAGCACACGTCCATTTACCTCGTCCATGATGGACGATATCAGGTGGGCAGAGACCCTGAGAAGTGCATTGATGGTTACAAAAGGGATGGATATGGACAGGAAGCTGCACCCTTAAATTCACCCCGGATCAACCAAGTCACCTGATCTACCGCCTCCGGTGCTTATCCAACCACACCGGTCACCCATCCAAACCCAGCCATAATAAGTCTTCAATATTTATTGACAAGAGCAGTGCCAGGTTGCCTTTCCTTCTTGACCGGTCGGCCTAGCACAAGGCTCATATATCACTCTCTGGTGTAGGATAACGGCAAGCAGCGCAAATTTCTCCGGCGCTGCGGGTCGTGGTACGGAATGTTTGAGCAGGGTTCGTTGTATTTGGGGCGCAGGTCGCATCCGGGGCGTGTTTTTGGATGATTATAGGTGTCCATACAACCGCAGCGAAATAGGATCTCATGCCATTCACACATCTATAAACCAGACTATGTAAGGCCCAGCTCTGTTTTTGGATGCCTTCAACCGTGTAGAGCGTACCTTGCTTTCGTGAAAAGAAGTCGGTTTGTTGGGGGAGAAGTATGGTCTTTTCGAAGAGGTGTAAAACGTGCAGGCGTCACAGTAATTTAACGTACTTAGAGTCGGGGAAGAATTACAGTTTATATATCTACAGAGTACCCCAAATGACTCGTTCTTTCATGATGAGGGGTAGGAAGTGCCAGCAGCCTCTACAGGGTACTATGTACTACATTGGATGTTGAGCGCACAGACATCGGGCCTAACCTATCACCGGTTAATTAGGGCGAACGCTGTCGCTTCAACAACAGCTGACGTATGTACTTGGCTCATAGGGCATTAACAACGAGTATATGAGATACCTTGCGTATATTGCTATGAAGTCTTACCTTCATTAAGGCCAGGCGACCTGCTAATCCCAGCTCACCACCTCCGACCGAATATTGTTGGTTAGAAACATTCTCTTATCCCACTGGCAGATGTCGAAGGAGAAAGTTCAATTTCTACCAAGAAATCAGACAAATATTATTGGTGTATGATGTATGCCTAGCGAAATTGAGTCGTTGTCTAACCCAACAACCCTTTCGGGGTATTTTGACTGAGCAAGCTGTCTAGATACCGAATCTGCAGGCTGCCCGTGTCGATGCACTCGGTAATCTGTGGTACTTGCTCTTCTGTTAATGCTATCAGAGATCAGTAACTCGGCAATGAACTAAATACGAGGTCACCGGCACCGTTGTTGTCATTACCTGAAGACTTCCGCAGGCTCCATATGGGAGGATTATACTCACAGGTACAACCATACATCAGCAATGAAATGCCATCACGAATACGATTCCGTGTGCGGAGTAGACTAATCTGATATGATAACCCGTTCTAATCTTATCTCTATCCCCAACTTCCCATCCGGATATCCTCCCCCCCGCATCGGAGACCTCCGCCGCCACCCCTCATCTATAAGACAATACTTCCCATCACACAAATAAACTACCTAGATCTAGCCAGCCGATAGACCCCTAAAGCCTTCGAATCCCTCAACGCCAAACATAGCAATTGGCACCCCAAACCCACCAAAATGCTCCTAACCAACACCACAATCCTAACCCTCTCGCCGACCCGCACAATCCTCACCAACGGCGCCCTCCGCACCTCGTCCAGTTACATAACCGACATCGACAAAACCCCCGTCCTACTAGCCAAATACCCCGATGACGAAGTCATCGATCTAACCGGGCACATTCTCATCCCGGGACTAATCTCCACGCACATGCACACCGCCCAGACGCTCCTCCGCGGCTGCGCAGACGACCTCGAGCTGGTATCCTGGCTGTGCGAGCGCATCTGGGTCCTGCAGGGGAATTTCACTCCCCAGGATGGATATGCGGCGGCGAGGTTGAGTATTGCGGAGATGTTGAAGAGTGGGACGACGTGTTTTTTGGAGAGTATGGTATTTCTCTCTCTCCCATTCTTTTCCGCATTCATTTATTTATGTAGGTGGATGGTGCTGATGTGATACTGTGTATGTGTAGTTCGCAGACCGGTATGGCTTCGACGGACTATGTCGCGCCGTCGAGGAGAGCGGGATCCGCGGCTGCCTGGGCAAGATCGTCATGGATACGGGACGGTACGCGAAGGATGATGCTTGGGCGATGCATCCAGGCCTCATTGAAAACCGGGAGACGTCGTTGCTGGGAACGATGAAGATGTGGGAGAAGTGGAATGGGAAGGCGGGGGATCGTATTAGGGTTTGGTTTGGGGCGAGGACGCCGGGGGGGTAAACACCCTTTTCTTTCCTATCTATGCACTGCCCTCTTGTTATGGTAGTAACTGACAAATCTCTCAGAGTGTCTCCTGCCCTCTACAAAGAAATGACCGCCCTCTCAGCGCAACACAACATCCCCATAACCATGCACTGTGCCGAAGTCTCCGCAGACCGGGACTTCTTCGCGTCCGTAGATCATACCCCCATGACGTACTGCGACAGCGTCGGGCTCCTCTCCCCCTCCACTGTCTTAGTACACATGGTGCACCTCGACGACGGGGATATCTCGCTTCTAGCAAAGTCCGGCACGCATGTCGCGCACTGCCCCACCTCCAATGCGAAGCTCGCGTCGGGCACATGTCGAGTCCCGGATCTGCAGCGTGCGGGGGTGAATATCGGGCTCGGGACGGATGGTGCGCCGTGCAATAATACCTGCGATATGTTGCAGGAGATGAAGCTGGCGGGGATTATACATAAGGGGACGAGTGGGGATCCGACGGTTGTGAGTGCTGAGGAAGTGCTCGAGATGGCGACAATTAATGGGGCTAGGGCGTTGGGGTTGCAAGATAGCATTGGGAGTTTGGAGGTGGGGAAGAAGGCGGATATTGTGGCAATTGATGCTAGGGGCGTGGAGATGCAGCCGTGGTTTAATCCAGTTAGTGCGGTGGTGTATACGGCTACGGGGAGGGATGTGAAATTTGTGATGGTGGATGGCAAGGTGGTTGTTAGGGAGGGCGAGTTGGTCACTATGGATGAGGGGGAGGTGGTCAGGGAGGCGGAGAGGAGGAGTAGGGAGGTTGTGGAGAGGGCTGGGTTGGGGGGGAAGGTGGGTGCTAGGTGGCCGGTTTTGTGAAATCCTTTTTGATTTGTATTTTATTGTGAGGTATAACGCATTGATTAAAGCTTTGGTAACCACAGTGTCTGCGAATTGCACCATCCTGTCAGTCCGTTCAATCCCCACTCGACTCCAAGCCCGCTCTTCTTGTGTCCGCCGAATGGTGCGAATGGCGCACATTCGAAATGTGAGTTCACCCAGACTGAGCCCGCCTCGAGCTGATCTGCCATGCGTCGTGCGCGCTGCAGGTCGCGACTCCAGACGGATGCTCCTAGGCCGTAGTCTGTGTTGTTGGCGCGTGCTAGTACGTCCGTCTCGTCGGACCATTTTAGGAGAGGCAGGATAGGGGCGAACGGCTCCTCTTGGACCACTCGGGATGTCTCGGGCGGGTTGTCGACGATTGTTGGGGTGATGAAGTAGCCTGTTCGGCCTGGGGGATTACACGAGAAGGTGCTCAGTCCGCTGGAATGAATGTTGTTAAGAAGGTCAGTGGCCTTGTCGTACTGCATCTTGTTTTGCAGAGGCCCAATGAATACGTCCGGCTCGGTTCCCTCGCCCATCTTCAAGCTTTGAACATGCTGGACGAGTTTATCGCGGAACTCATCGTAAATCTTTTCGTGCACATAGAGACGCTTGATCATCATACAGATCTGACTGGAACACAAAAAGGAGAGGAAAGCAATCTACATTGTTAGCAGAGGTATTAGACTCAGAAGATGCGACACACCTGAGGAATTATAGCATCAATGTCTACATCCTCGCACACAATGCAGGGGTCATTCCCGCCCAGTTCCAATGTCACCTTCTTCAACGTCTTAGCACAACTAGCCATGACTCGCTGGCCCGTAGCTATCGAGCCCGTGAAGCTAATCTTCTGAATACCCGGGTGCTCGGTAATCATCGGTCCCAGATCGTCGCCCCCACTGAGAGCCTGCACCACGCCAGGTGGAAAGCATTGCGTTGCCAATTCCGCCAGCTTCAAACCACAGTATGGCGTGTATGGGGAGGGCTTTACGATGATAGTATTACCCGTGTACACAGCCGGGACAATCTTGCCGATAGCCAGCAGCACGGGAAAGTTCCAGGGCACAATAGCAGCGGCTACACCGATGGGAATATAGCGCTGAATTACCTCCCGGTCGTCTGTGTCATTGACGACCGTCTTGGGAATAATGATGGAGCTGAGCGAACGAGTCCACTGAATGGCCATGTCAAGCTCGGTCGATGCCTGGCTCAGTGATTTGCCCTGCTCGCGGGACAAAAGTCCCACCATACCTTCCTTATTTGCCGCGATGCGATCAGCAAAGGAATGGATGGCAGTGCGGCGCTCATCATACGAGGTCCGTGACCATTGACGAAACGCTCGGCTAGCAGCGTCCACTGCGCGATCGAGATCTTCTGCCGTTGAGACGGGCACTTCAGGGTTAGGCTGGCAATTGGCTGGGTTAATGCCATGACGGGTTTGCGTTGTGGAAGTCAACTCGTTGTCGATGACATTGTAAAAGGCCTGGGCTATTAGATCGCATGCAGATCGGGGTATTGATGATTGATCACTTACAGTGTAATCCAAAGCCATGATGTCCAAAGTTGTGATTATTTACGATGATGAGGATGAACGAAAGCAAGCAAATGGAGCAGGGCACGGCCGGACTATAAGAGCAGCATCGCAATGGGCCTAGAAGGACCTCAAACACATGAAAGCCGGCCAAATCCGCTAAATTGAACTCTATACCGGCCGCATTTGGCGAGATTGCTGACATTCCCCGCACCTTGAATCTAGTTTAGCCACTACGGTGCGCATGGGGACAGTCTAGCTCCGACAGCGAGTGGATGTCAGATTGATCGTCGGACGCCTGAATTGCCGTCTTTGTCTCACCTTCCAATCACGTTCTCCTGCAGCATGCGGCACTGACAAGCGTCACACAGCTGGAACGTGGAAGAGCAGTGCGATGTGATATTATCTACACGAGTGACACGAGGCACGGACGGCGTCCTTTCCCTCCAGTCGGAGATTTTCCGCCTTCAATTTCAGCTTGCCAGCCGGTGTCTCCGGCCTGTTGCCTGAGGCGGCGTTCTCCGGACGCCTGGTAGCCTTAATTGCAAATAGACACATGATGATAGATGCGAATCTTGCTTGATTGATTGGAAGCTTTGCGTGTGGCGAGATAGTCCGCAGCTATCCGGAGTATCTCTCGGCGGGTGTTTCGCGACGTGAATTCCAGCTGACTCCAGCCAAATGGGCAGACTCCGCACCAAGCGAGTGGTGATGGAACTATCTGATAATTATCAAACACACTACGTCACAGTAGCATTGCTTATTCTTTGTTTCTCTTTACCTGGTGAAACTGTCTTCAAGGGCACTTCCATGTGCTGACTAATGCCACGGAGCAACGGAGAAACACACCAGCCGATGGCATCCCGGCGTCGGTGCCTTCAACAAGATGGTCAGTGCGACACGATACACCGGTGATCTACTTATGATCAGGTTGGAAGCGGTTATTGAAACCTTAGCTTGACTGATAGCTCGCAGCTGGGTTTGGTCATGGGACTTTGCTCGGATACTGTGCAGGTTGGCGTGTTCCACAGTGGTCAATCGGTTCGAACACCAACTTGAATCATCTCGATATGAGGATCGATCTACTAGTAAGTGGGAGAGATCTGTCTCAGTAACATGTTATTGCTCCTGAAGTACACCAAGAGAATATGATGTAATACCTGTTAAGATAAACTCAGATTACGTCTGTTCCCAAAATGTGATGTCTCAGGACCCTAATACTGACAATATATATTTTCGACTGCAGGGATGATAAAACGATTCCAAGTGTCCGGTTTCATCTTAATACATTAGTAGAGATGGAATGTATAATTTCAGAAGAACTGGGAAATTTTCATTAGGTCTGGTGTAGCAAATATACATAATAAATTTTTAGAGGAATCTCTATTATAAACTCCAGCAGACCTAAAGGATAAATTGAATCATCATGTAGTTTGTATATACCTGACTAAGTATATCTGATAGCATATGTAAGAACTTGCTCAATTGCCCAGCATCCAACCACCACTAAATGTCTCGGCAGAAACCCCAAGGTCCTCGAATGACAGCACAGGAGGGTTTCCCTTCCCTCCTACCAATCAAATACAGTGCATCTAGCACGGCATTTGAGATGTGGATACAGATTGAGCAAATCATAGACAGATGAGATATAGATATGCTTAGCTGCACATGGCATCGACGAGCCATACAAGAAAATAAATGGTACCGACATGATGCTGTCCGAAGCGATTGGCGCAATCACCCGAGCCAAGAAGGCCAAGACAGCAGGCGCGTCACACATAAAAAGCAGATGAACATCCAGTATGTGAGAAGAATTGAACCAGTCACCCCGCCATGGGTAATATTCAAGATGAAAAGCGACAGACAGTCGTTCAGGTTCTTCCGGATGGTGTGAGCGATGAAGCCGAGTTTGCGCAGGAATTTACTCGAAAGGAACATGCGCTGGGGTTCTGGGAAGCCATGCGACGGCACTGGCCGGCTGTGGCTTGGGCGTCGTTCATGAACCTGGTAAGAGTATTTATTGGCTGGGAAATACAGTGTTAACCATCCATAGGCCACCATTTTGAAAGGCATTGTAGGCCATCCTCCATGAGAAGTGAGAAGCAGCCCTAACTGGTATAGGATGGCGGTATTGTCAAAGGTCTAGTCGGTCTCGACGTCTTCAAGAAGACATACGGCTACAACTACCATGGGGAATATGTCCTGGCTGCTCAGTGGATCTCCGCCTTCCAATACGCCAATTTACTAGGAGCCATCGTGGGCGCCCTCTGTTCGGGCTTTGCCTACGATCGCTTTGGTCCACGAGTGATGATAGCTGTGTGCTCGTGTCTGTCCATCGCCTTCATCTTCGTGCAGTTTTTCAGTCATACGCCAGCCCAGTTGTTTGCGGGCGAGCTCATAAATGGGTGCATCATCGCATTTTACCCCATTTGTGCCTCCGCGTACGTGGGTGAGGTGACTCCGCTAGCACTCCGCGGCTTCGCAGCTACAATGACCAACCTCGCCTTCTCGGTCGGGTCGCTCATCGCATCGGGGATTCTCAAAGGCACGGAGTCGCTAAACACCACCATGTCGTACAAAATCCCCATCGCGACGCAATGGGCGCTACCATGCATCATGCTGGCGCTGATCTTCTTCTGCCCTGATCCACCATACTGGCTCTGTCGGCATGGTCGCAACGAAGCGGCACTAGCATCACTGCGGCGTCTAGCCACTCCGGGTGTAGATGTGTCACGCCAACTATCCCATATCGAGGAGACACTGCGTCTAGAGGCCAGTTTTCAGGCCGACCGACCGACATACCGGGAATGTCTGCGTGGGCCAAACCTCCGCCGACTGCTGATCTGCGTGATGGCTTACAACATGCAAGCCTTCACGGGAAATGTCTTCTTCATCAACTACGCCGTGCATTTTATGGAGCTGGCGGGCTTGGACTCGTCAAATGCATTTTCGATGAACATCGGACTGACGGCGCTGGGACTTGTCGGAACATGTCTATCGTGGCTATTACTGCCCTATGTGGGCCGCCGAACGATGTACATCTTCGGGTGCTCCGCTTTGGCGGTGGTACAGTGCCTGATCGGTGTGCTCGACGTCGTCCCACGAGACAATGCCACGGTATGGGGACAGTGTGGGCTCATGCTGGCCTGTACGTTCGTGTATGATCTCAGTCTCGGGCCATTCTGCTATGTGCTGCTGGCGGAAGTCTCATCGGCGAGACTGCGGGGACTGACCATCGCGCTGGCCACAGTCAGCTGCTTTGTGTGGTCGGTAGTGTTCGCAGTGGTGATACCGTACGCGATGAACGAAGACGAGGGGAACTGGCGGGGCAAGATGGGATTTTTATTTGCGGGGTTGGGCGCGCTGTGTGCAGGTTATTGCTTCTGGTGGATGCCGGAAACGCAAGGAAAGACATTTGAGGAGTTGGATGTGTTGTTTGAAAAGGGTGTCCCCAGTCGAAAGTTCAAGCATTGTGTGGTTGAGATGCAGTAAATAGAAGTCAATTCTGTCAATGCCGCAGACCGAACCTAATCCGATAAAAATTATGACGGCTTATGCTGACTAATACCGGGGATAATGGAGTTAAACATTACATCAAATCAACCTCAACATCTTCCACTACCGAGGTATCTTGATATTTTCTTCAGTCTCAAGAACTTTTATTTCTGCTTGATAAGCATCGGCCGCCGAATACTAATCAGTTTTACCGTCCGCATTGAATCCCCCACTTGTCCCCTTATCCCGAGGCCCGTAGCATAACTCGACACCGTAAACCCCGCCGAGTGGAAACTTTCCGGCTTCCATTCCTGATTCTTAAGTTCGCTCCGCCAGTATGACATAGCTAACCCTTCACGGAGATGCGTTTCCGTTGAGTGCAGCCTATCGGAGGGGTACCTTTACACAGTAAGAACTGTAATTCTATAGTGTTTGTTTGAAACAATCTCCCACTTACTCTTTGAGAAAAAAAAATCCTAACTTGCCGAGCAGTACTCGTCGTTCATATCCTGCCCGGTTGATGCCCCGAACAAGCATATCCCCCGATTGCCTCATCACCGGCACGGTCCACCAGAGCCGTGGTTCAACGGAGCTTCTGCACCAATCTGCCCGTTGTCCCGGTCGAAAACCCACCCACACCAGCCTGTTTCTGGCAAGAGCCTAGGTAACTCAAAAAAAACATTCCTCGTCTCGAGAAGCTTCTTCTTGCTTAGGGGCAATACAGTAGAATCATCATGGTGCTTTGTAATCGACATTCCACCCGCCATGATCCGCAGGAAATATAAACCCTACGTCAGACCCTTATTCCATTCATAGCATATCTCTCAAACACTCCAAGTGAAACCTACACACCATAATCACCATGTCCAACCAAACCCTCGTCTTCAAGCAAATCCCCACCGGCTACTTCGTCCCCGGCCAGGACGTCGTCCTCGAGCAGGCCTCGTACGACGCCTCCGCCCCGGCCCCGGAGGGTGGCATCTTCGTTCAATCCCTCTATGCCAGCTTCGACCCCTACATGCGCGGCCGCATGCGCCCCGCCCACATCAAGTCCTACTCCCCCGCCTTCACCCTCAACGCTCCCATCGACAGCAGCATCATCGGCAAGGTCCTCCGCTCCAACACCCCCGCCTACAAGGAGGGCGACCTGATCATCGGCTTCCTCCCTATCCAGCAGTACATCTCCGTCGCCGCTGACCAGCTCGTCCGCGTCCGCGCCCTCGAGAACCCCCTCGGCATCGAGGACCTCCGCGTCTTCATCGGCGCCCTCGGCATGCCCGGTCTGACTGCCTACTCTTCCCTCTACGAGATCGGCAAGCCCAAGAAGGGCGAGACCATCTTCGTCTCCGCCGCCAGTGGCGCTGTCGGCCAGCTGGTCGGCCAGCTCGCCAAGCACGAGGGTCTGAAGGTCATTGGATCCGTCGGATCGGACGAGAAGCTCGACTTCATCACCAAGGAGCTTGGCTTCGACGGTGGTTTCAACTACAAGACCGAGAAGCCGGCTGATGCGCTGGCCCGTCTGGCCC